AATGATAAATTAAGCCATAAAATCAGCCAATGACGAGCGACAYCCTACAATATAATCTCACGCCATGAAGGAACTGAACCATAAYGTCAGRCAATGATGTACTACGCCTGGATAAGCCATAACACTGCCATAACGTCAACCCACAAATTAATAAAAACTACAACATGAGGGAAGAACTAATCCATAACATAGTTAATGACTAACTATAGCCTTAAGATTTGTCAATGATGGAGAGCAAACGATAAACTAAGTCATATGGTTACCAACTGATAGCTGAGCTGTAAGGTTAGCCAATGACGAAGTTATAAGGACAGCCAATGATAAACTAAGATATAAGATCGCAAAAAGTTTATAAACGTCAGCAAGTGAAAAACTAAGCTACGAGGTCGATCAATGAAAAACTACGCTACCAGATCGGCTAATGAAAAACTAAACTACAAGCTCGTCCAATGGAAGACCACGCTACAAAATCGGCCAATGAAAAACTAAGCTACAAGGTCGATCAATGAAAACAACGCTACAACCGCCGACCGGTTAGCTCAGTAGGTAGAGCATCGGACTTTAGTGCGGGAGGTCHCYMGTTCAAACCCCGGCCGGACCAACACTCAGGGTCTTAAAATAATTGAGGAGAAGTTGCTGCCTTTGTCTTTCTCCATCTGCAAATGGTAAGATCTTCTCGTCCTCTCGGATAACGACGTAAAATCGGAGGTCCCGTCTCTCTACACTTCACTCACTAACCGGTATTAGAGGGACGTTAAAGAACCCACACCACTGTTCGCATAAGAGTAGGGAATGATTCCCGGTGTGTGTGGCTAGGCCTTACTACTAACCCATACTAATTACTAACCCTCATGATTGTAAGCCGCGTGGCTGCCAATTGCGCCTTAAAAACAGCGGTCCGTGTGAAATGATCTATACATGTGAAGCGCCTTTGAACTCAGAGGATATCGGCGCTATATAAATAACACATATTATTATTATTATTATTATAAGATCGGCTAATGAAAAACTAAGCTACAGGATCGGCCAATAAAAAACTAAACTACAAGCTCGTCCAATGAAAAACCTGACTAAGCTACAAGCTCGGCCAATGAAAAACTACGCTACAAGGTCGGCCAACGAAAAACAACGCTACATTGTCGGCCAATGAAAAACTACGCTACAAGATCGGCCAATAAAAAACTACACTACAAGCTCGTGCAATGAAAAACCACGCTACAAAGATCGGCCAATGAAAACAAACTATGCTTCCTAATAGCTCGTACAATGAAAAAACCACGCTACAAGCTCGTCCTATGAAAAACTGAGCTACAAGATCGTCTAATGAAAAACTACACTACAAGATCGTCCAATAAAAAACTACACTATCTACAAGCTCGTACAATGAAAAACCACGCTACAAGATCGGCCAATGAAAAACTACGCTACAAGATGGGCCAATGAAAAACTACGCTACAAGATCGGCCAATGAAAAACTACGCTACAAGGTCACCATGACTTTCGAAACATCAGTGGCAGAAATAGCGACTTAAAAGTAAATACGAATTATCAGTTTATCAAAANGGGTGACCTTTATCAGATATAATGGTCCATGACCCTAGCAAAGGTCTCAGGTTTGATGCCTGATCATTGACCAATGCAGGATGTCAACTGATTGCAGTAAAACAGCCATCAGCACTTCTATTTTACTTTATGCATATTCAATGTGGGATGATGAGAGTGCTTTGTAAAGTGATTCACACATGATCAGTTTGCCCCATTTATCTCAAAGTTATATTTACGGCAATTTCTCCGAGAATTTTAACAACTTTGAGTTTCAAATTAGTGTTGGAGTTTTTTAAGCAGTTTTTAAACACTCTCTCTCTCATGTGTTAAACTATACATAAAGTGTATTAATGCAATATCTATTTCACAGGTTTTATGACCTCACTCTACCTCAATAGTATTAATACTTACAATTTATAATACTGTTGTATGTAGAAGTAGTAGTAGTAGCATGTAGTAGTAGCAGTATTGATTGGAGTAACTTGATTAGGAATTGTAGAGCAAAGACTRTGTTAACTATCTATTTCAATGGTGTAGTATTATATTTCTGTTTGCTARTTGTTTTTGCATGTATATGTTTTTTCAAGTTGCTGAAGAAGGTCAATATGCCCTAAACATTCAAACAAAGAATGCTAAAAGTGGCAGGTCACATGGATTGTTTCAGATTTTTCTTCTTATAAATATATACATATTTTTGATTTTCATAAGCCAATTCTCTTGCAATTTGCAATATCCCATACACATTTAAAGTGGACATAAAGCATCAAACAAATGAGCCCAGTTACCCTCCCCAGAGTAGCCTGATGCCTTGAACTAGTGTAGGGAGGTTGTCAGGGGGGAGGACATGTGTCACATAAAAGATTTTGGCAAATACAATTTTTGAAAGAGTGGGACTGGGATTTTTTCAGGCTTCTGAGTATTGAGGCCCCAAAAGAAGGTTAATGCACCCCCCCCCCCTTAAAAAACATTTCACTACAGCCGTGTTACATTTTTCTCAAAAGAAACTTGTGTTGAYAAATCAATTATAATCCAACAACAAATTTTCCTCTGCTTTCATTGGTCGAGAGTTGACCATCTGGTGCAATACTGCCCGTGCATAGAGCCCTGCYAATTTTGCTGTTGAATWAYTAATAAAAACAATAGAATATTTGAAATCTCAGGCATTTTGCTGTGATAGTTGCCATTAGAAACCAAAGTCCCTTGAAACATCATTCTCATCCAATMACTTGTTTTTCGGAACATCCCGTTTCCGTGGGCAACTATTGTAGCATAATGCCCTCAGTTCAACTACTCTATTGTGTAATTGCCCTATGACATAATGACATCACAGTATGTTTACATTGTGGATAGATTCTCAGAAAGACTCAAACTATGGACCTAATAACATTCTTTCCTAAAGTAGAACTTTAGCGTATCGAGTTATGATGTACATCATGTATCAACATAGCTTATCTACATTTTATTTGATATACAGTCACTCTGATCCCCTCTGGCGGCCATAATCCTTAGCATTAAAACAATAGAATGCCTTGGTTTGATGTAATTATGCAATAGGTCAATTAGAGCTAATTAGGAATGTGCATAGCTCACCTTAATATCTGACAGACATAGACCAACACTTTCCAAATAGCTTGAATCAAGTGCCAACAAAGACACCAAGTGCCCCCCAGCAGAATGACCACATAGGAATTTTGAGCTGTGACTAAACATTTTAGTTTTAACAGCCAAGTCCTTTAAATATGCAACACTCCTTGCTACATCTGAGATATGTGAAGGATGCTTGGTCCCAGGCTCTCTGACTTGGTGAAATGTTATTAAGGTCAGAATTAGGAAGACTCCCAGCCAGACCATCCACAACAGTGATATGTAAGGTAATGGTGTAAGAAATGATATGATGATCGACATCACAATTGGCCAAAATTTCTCATGTTTTGAAATTATATAACTTGGATCAAAATAGCAAACTATTGCCCATACTATCAGCAGCGAGGTCACTATAAGAGTTGGGAAAGAAGCTAAAATATCGTGGCCAAAAGAAAGATCGAATGGGATCAAATTACGAGATAACAGTAGCAAGCACGTTAAAGGGGCTAACGTGATCAATACTGAGAACACTAATGGACACAACACTTCYATCATCAACCAAGGAAACTCAAGACGACTTAGTCGATACGATACAACAGCACAAGCAACTCCATTACTTGCAAATAGTCTACCAACATTCGAGTAAGCATCGTAGTACAACATTACTAAAGTTACAAGCAAGTTAACATTGTAAACAGAGACGAAATGCCGGTACGCTCGTCTGTCTCCTCTCATCCAGCCTCCACCATGAACGAATACTACTAACGGTGTATTTTGGTCAGAATCCTTGGGCATGAACAAATCTAGCTTGTTTTTTGAGATTATTTCAGTATTCTCCTTAGCGCAGTCGTAGTATTTTAAATCTTTTATCACAGAATACGAACCATGTTTTTCTTCCGCCATGTTAACTCCCCCTCGACTTATGCCCCCTCGGTCAAAATCAAGCACAGGTAAACACTTCYAAATGGTCTGAAATGCCAAAAATTATATTTTGGTTGCATATTTAGCTATTGGCACCCTATTTTCGATAATATGAATTCAAGTCACCTTATACTTCATAGAATACAATWGTCCTACGGCTGTGCTAGCAAATTTTCGCCATTTGTCTCCCATTTCCCTGAAAATACAGAGAATTATAAACGACGAACCCACTGGCACTTCGACTCATTACCGTGTCCAGGCCGAAGGGCTGCGGCACGGTTATAAAATGCAGCGAATTTATTAATTTATTTTTTTTTTCATTTATTTATTTTTTTTTTTTTTCACGTCGAAGTTTAGCAATCGCAAGGGACCCATAATCCACAGTTCCAAGGTTCGCTAAGCTCCGCCTCCTGAACACTCTAGAAGTGTTTTTCGAAATAAACAGTCGTTGTTAGGCACTGTTTCATTACAACYATAAGCAACACCTTTGACTAGGAAGGAACGAAGGTTACGGTCACGTTTATTAGAAAAGAGGGGTCGGTCGTTAAAGATGTGAGAAGTGTTWGTTTCAGAAGTGAGTAAGAAGTAATTACGATTAACAATAGTCTTAATAGAACTGTTAATAGGATGATAAGTAAGAGTGAAAGGAATACGGTCATTCGGAGCACGAGCCTTAGATGTAAGAGCAGTGTTACGATCAATGTCAGAGACTTTACGCAGAGCTTGATAGTTACGATTAAGAAAAAAAGGAACGCATCTCCATGCATTTGTTGGAAAAGTCATTATCGCCGCTGCACAAGCGACGGAGACGTAGAAATTGAGAGAAAGGAATAGCATTCAGATTATGCTTAGGGTGAGAAGAAGAATAGAGGAGATAAGAGTGAGAATCATATAGGCTTATAATGCACAGTAGTGCTGAGATGAATGTCAGTAATACTGACTTGAATGTCAAGAAAAGTGACTGACCTGTCACTGACTTCAGAAGTGAATTCTAAGGCAGGATGAAAAGAATTCACATAAGAAATGAAAGAGTCTAAATCGTCACGAGAACACGAGGTAGCACCAATCCTGCCTTAGAATTCACTTCTGAAGTCAGTGACAGGTCAGTCACTTTTTTTACAATTTGCATACAATCGTAGTAAGCACATGCGCTCATTGGGCGCCTTTAATTGTGACGAAGGCCTTCTGGGAAGGCCTCTCGTCACTATGTCATCGACCATGGGTGAGTGTCTGTAACCAAATCGAAGTACTTTCGAATAAATCGAAGTAATTTCGGATTACAAGACTGTACGAAAGGTCTACGAAATCCCGACGACAGAAATTTACGAAGAAAAATCTACTTTGGCTGACCATGTGCGTTCTCTAGCGAKGTGTTTGTGCTTTCGAAGGTGATGGTTATTGTTATTTTATCCATAGTTAATAGCTATGTTTTATCGCAAAACAATGTATTCAAACTATCTTTTGCCTAGAACTAGGCACAAATTTCTATGCATTTGCAGTCAAATTTGTATTTATAAAGAATATTTCAGATTTTGGAGCGCTTTATARGGTTTGTTTGCAAACAAAAGTCCGATTTGGTCGCTTGGCTTATTACACAAGACCGGTGCTTTTTGCGAACCTGTATAGCCAGTAATCCCAGCAATGCGATCTTACCTCTGCTTCGTTTATAGTCTGTTTTAATCCGTCCTTTTTAAAATGGAATTACAAGGTCCTAATAATCCTAGTTTACTCTATTTATCTCTCTCTATTTACCTTCTATATTTATCTCCATTCGCGAATAATTTGAAGGAGACTTCAAATTACACTCTGCCTTATGTCCTACTGAGCATTCTAGATCTCTATTGTTCCTATAAGTCTCTTATGCCTGAGTCACATGCAGTCCTAGACTGCGTATTTTTTTAATATGTACTGTACTAAAATAGTACAAGACTGGTTACTTACCTTTCACACCACTCGTCTTTGTTGGACGAAAAAATATGATGAATGGCATCTTTTGCCTACAAAATCACCTCAACGGCGGCACGTCTATTTGGTCATTCTCACCCAGAATTAGGCAATGACAGAAGTACATATGTACTTCTGGCAATGATCTTTTGGCAACCAACCGCAGTACATGAAAATGATCGAAAAGCTTCATGGAGTGAAAATCATATCATATTTTCTATCCGGTTGAGCCTTTGTAGAACGGTTTGGACACGTCATTTGACCGCTGCATACGTAATCGCGTACTCAATCTTATTGAATAACAGTTACCATGGAATCAGTTSTAGTAATTTATGTGTGAAGAATACCAACACAACAGTCAATGTCGTGTCCAAACAGTTCTACTGCCATWATGCAAATCGGTTATTATCAGGAAGGGGGATTGAGCTTCCAGAGGGGGAGTTTCCCGAGTCTGCGACGACGGGGCTCTTATTCGGGGGAGGCGCTTATTCGAGGGATGCGCTTATTTAAAAGCATGAAATACGCACAAATAGTCCAAGTATGCTTTTCTTTTGATAATAATTTTTACTACTACAACAGTATTCAGTTCGTATATCAAAGCAGGTATGTTAGTTTAGAGCTTTAATGATTAACATAAATTTACAGCATTAACAAAAGAAACAAGAATCGCTAGGATTCTAGTGAGACACTCAATGGTCGAGCGCTAAAATATAATCACTCTGAACTTAAAAATATTTACCCTTTTTTCTTAATTGCACTAAAACCTCGAATAAGCGGGGGGAGGCGGTTATCAACCATTTTGGATTGAAGTGGGCGCTTATTCGGGGGAGGCGCTTAATCGAGGGAATCGCTTTTTCGAGCAAATACGGTAGTCTAAATGAATTTATGACTTGAAAAAGGGAGACAACATCCAAGTTAATCAACGAWGGACAGGGGAGTATGAAACAGATCACAAACTCAACAAACTAGTGACCATTTAAAAGATGTTTTTATAACTTTGTAATTTTGTGAGCCTAAGTTCTACTTTGGTCTAAATRTCTGACCCTGTTTAAGACACTAAAAAGTGAAAATCCATACCCTGTTCAAGACAAATTGGAAAAATAAGGAATAGCTATCTTCGCCGCAACCATCAAAAGCGCAATTACACTGACACCCATCAAAGACAATAAGAAATTTTTGATAACACGTTAATCCTGGGACAGTGAAACTATTTCCACGGTATTTCTTATGAAAATATTACCCTGTCTAAGACACACAAAAATTATATCGGTCTTTTATCTAAATTTTAGAGCATATTCAAGACAATTTGGGTGAAATGTATACCCTGTTTATGACAGCAAGGTCAAAAACCATACCCTGGCCAGCGGCACGTCCCCGTATAGCAAATATACGGGAGTACCTCCCCCCCCTCCCCCCGGATGAAAAGGTAAAACTAAAGTCGGTCTAGTCAGTGGCTAGATCGATTAAAGACAAAAATCATTGACCGTTAAGTTCAAATGCCTTGCTTGTGTACTTACAACTACTTTTCAACTTTGATCATTCTTCTGGACAGTTCCCTTAATCTTTATTCACTTCGATGCYATCATAATCAAACAATTCCTTGAAACTTTGCAGCGGTGCCTTCAAGTAAGATTACTCTGTGACTGCTGAATTTGAGAGATCCACGCTGTTTTCACATGTTCTTGCATATCGCTTTCTTAAAGCAACTGACAGAGGGGAATTATCATGTGCCCCAAACCAGCACCAATCGGTCCTCCGATAGCCACCGCACCAACTGTCCCAACTGCACTACCAAACATTGAACCAACGTAGCCACCGAAAACTCTACAGAAGGCTTTAGCCAATATCTCATGGACCTCAGCCTTCCACTGCTCATCTTCTAGAACGTTTTTATCTGATAAACCGCACTTCGAGCAGGTCTGGTTAAAGGCCAAGAGCATCTCAGGCACTATATAAGCAATGAAGGGCAACGAAGAGGAGCTTTTGATGAACAATGCTAAGTCATCGGAAATGTTAGCCAGTACTTCATGAATAAAACGGCTGATGGAATGCTCCTTGATTGCAGCAAGAAGAGAGTAGGAGATTGTTTGTGCCATTATCACCCAGTCATCGACTTGAAGACTAACGTTAAGACCACATTTGCACCACGAGGCAAAGTGCTCACAGTTGTTCTTGCTTAAATCATATGCATTCTCGCCAAGTCGGTCTTCTGCCCGCTTCTTTACCTCATCGGGTGTGAATCTTTGGAGCACTTCAGGGTACTCAACTTTTTTACACTTATAGAATAATYTAAAYATAATATCAATAATAATAAATAGACAAATCAATTCCRACTACACTTGGTTACAAACCATTGCGCTGCTCTTTGGAAAGGAAAACTGAACTGAGCCGCCTTTTTCTCGGTGTCTATTAATAAGACTAGTGTCCATACAATTATCTCAAAGGCGCCCAAAATTCGGCTTGCATTGTTGRTAAATCCCTAGATTTAAACAATGTAAAAATTCTTTTTTGGGTGGCTCAAGTGATTTTTAACCTACAAAATCGCGACCTCTTGAAAGTAGAAAACGTCAATTTCTTCTTAAAACGAATTTTGGTAATGTCTTCAACACAGTGCAAAAAGATATATGGAGTTTGTAAATAATGAGAAGCCCCCCAAAAACATAGCTAGCAATGAATGGTAATYCGTTCGATACCTTCAAAATTTTAATCAGTCGCCATAGATGTAATAATGTGCAACGATGCCATTTTGTACAACACTGCACATTGCCTATTCTTAGGTTGCAACCACATCATAAAAAATCCCTCGAGAAATAAAGAACAAAGGTATCACCACCATGTTGGATAACTGAACAAGCGAAACTAATGAGGAATGCTTTGTCATCGTCATCCAACATGTCGACAATTGACGTACCGTGCAACCCGGAAATTGCGAGAAAAGACATGAAAACACACTATCTCTACTTACTCCTTCGTTTATCAATTCTTGAASACTTTTTGTTGTTCTGACTATCATTGGGATTTCCGCAAGCACCATATTCAACTTGAAATGGTCGGGGGCTGAGTATTCGATTAACGAGATGTTGTCTTCATCCACATCCACAACTATTGCACTATGGTTATAGCGCACCATTCCAAGCACCCTTACACGCTCAAAAATTATATGGTCTCCAACACTTATTGGTGATTCAGAAATTTGTTTGTATACGAGCGGGTTTCCCTCTTTAATACTCATAAACCATCGCCGTTGCTGATGTGGGCGCATTTTAGACATGGCTTCAAGGTTGGGATATAAAACCGCATTGATGATATCTCCCTCTTCTTTGGCAGACTGATTTATGCTTGTCAACGACACCCAATCATAGCCAGAACTTAGAAACTCTTCGGTGATACATTTCAAACTGTCAGTCCTGACCTGTAGATTTAAAAATGCGTTTTGACTTTTCGTTTTTTCGTCTTTGAAAGCCAATATTTCCCAATAAGTGCTTGATTCTGTTTCAGTGAAACATTCCTCTTGAGAGTGTACTTCGCAAGCACAAATGGTAAGTATGATACTTTCACAACACTCCTTGGGATTCCTGTGCGGAACTTCACTTTCTGTCACGGTTTGTTTCAAAAGATAATCTTTTTTGTTTTTGAAAAGTTTGGGGATTGAATTGAGGACGTCTTTCATGTAGAAGAAGGGCTGTTTTACGTCCAACTTGACGCTGACACCGTAGATGCAGCTTGTCACAAATCTTTCGCTGTCCATGTCATGTTGAAACTTTTTGGCCAATGAAATGCTGTCCTGGACCTCACGACATCTACCTTTCAATTCATTTGGCCAAATTACTTTGAACATCTGAAAAAAAAGAGTAAATGTATAAAGGAAATTATCGACTTCCTAACTTTAAGATATCCATTTTAGGTGCTACAATTACACGATGGACTCTGGAAGGTACATGTCTAGCTGAAATATTAAGTTGATTCGATGCTAAAGGGTTGCTACGACAAATACGCCCCATTTTGAAATTCCTTGCATTCAAACACGTCTTATTTATAGTTTTGCTTGGAATCCACAGTTGATAAATTTTTGTTCAAAAGATCCTGCTATGAACAATAGGGTCAAGGCTATGACGTCATCGAGTGTAAAATATCTATGACTAAATATTTAAGAATATTTATCAGAATTTAAGAAGAGTATTAAAAATTTGTTGTTCAATGATTAATAAATATAAATAGAGAAATTTGTCATAGTAGCACATTTTACAAAGGGTATTACATTGAGGTATTCCCTCAGATCATGCTCAATTTGATTGAATTCATTGTATGG